TAAAATAATAATTAATAACTAATATTGTATTTATAATAGTCTTACAATTTCATAACATTATTATTATTTTGGTTAAGTTACTATTTGTCATTTTATGACGTTTAGGTTTTAAATGTTTTAATATTGAATAACATTATTTATTTAGAGATCAAATTAATAATTTGTATTTGAATCATTTTTTTCACCGTAAATGTAGTGATCTTATGAAAAAAACTGCAGACCACTAGATACTGATCCAGTGATTAAATTAAATTAACTTAGGTCATRTATATTCTCAAACGTAATAATACAGAACAACCGTTTCCTAATTTATGTTCATTGTAAAAGTGTAATTTAAATATTTTAGCTTAAAACAATAAAGGAATAATCCTTATGAATAATGTTTACAATGTTCATATACTTATATACAAATATTAACTTAATATAATATCAACTAAAACGTATTGAAAACCTGCAAAATAATGTTAGGTACGTTTAMGTTAATATCTCACATTTTTTAAATGTTGGCGTATTTAACACATTTTATATTGTGAGCGGAGCGATGAATGTATTGATTTTGCAATGACGAGTGTTTTTTTATAAAGTCTTTTTGGCCAAAAAAAAGTTGAATAAATACATTAGAAACTTATTTTGTATAATGAATTAAGTAGAATTTAGAATTATTTTTTTATTGACGGATATTTTAATAGGTATTTTAAATGCAACTTACAACTTGTAATTTCTATTATTCGGTGCTCCATTTGGTTGAGGGCACTGAGCTGTGCCCCACGTACCTATATAGAGTAAAGACGGAATCATTTATATWGATATTTAATAGTAGTTATATGCATCGTTTGAAAGGTATTTGTACCTTTTTTATAATAATATTATGGTATATAATTATAAGTTTTATAATGCGATAAACCTACCGAATATTCTCGTAATTACCGTTGTTGGCTTGTGGGTTTCCCTTATAGGCAGATTTAATTGTGTATGTACTGTGTGTAGGTATATATTGTATATAATATATAGTATATTAATATATTATGTCTAATATATTGTATATTTATGTATAAACTTGTGCTGCGCAAGAGGTGAATTTGTAGTTTGTACAGTTTGTCTCTCGGAGTCCATACACGCCCATTTTGAATATAACTTTTTTTGCGTAATAATGAATTTACAAGATAATAAAATTGAGACAATTTATATGTGATGATGTRATATACCTACATTATATAATGTTTACGTGTATATAGCTCTGAGACAATMGCATTATAATGTATTAATGTGATGGATGCGCCTTAGAGTTTTCTATGTGTATAATAATATACGGTCTTTGCCATCGTGCGTAGTATATACAGTATTTCCGGATTTATCTGTGTATATATATTATTTGGGGATTGAGGGGATTGATTGATGTACACAATATTCTTCGTTGTAGTAAGCAATCTTCATATTTATAATAATATAAAATATGAAATAGAATCATAATATGACAACATATTTWGTAGAAATCTGAATCATATTATATAGTATAACATAGCATGTCATATTTTTTGCATCTATGCATTCGAGGAGTGTCTCAAGCCATGGGGTTGTTTGAACACTTAAAACACACCCTGACTACGCAGGACTGCTATGTCTTATGCGGTATATAGCTTATGTGATTATTATTTTATTGATAAGTTCTTAAATTGATATTTTTTATATCATTCATTAAAAATGAATTCCCCCTAGTAGC